TTCCATGTATTCATCATCATCTTTTTTTTTTTTAAATCTTGTTTTGCTATTATTCGTCACAGGGCTCCCTGTCTGTTCCTGCATTATATTAACCAGCTGTACACCAATGCCGTGATTGTAACTGACTCACAGAGCATGGTAAGAAAGGTGAAAACAGGCATGCTCCATGCAGAGTGGCAAGCACATCTTCAGAAGTGCTGGGTAGTTAGCCTGCTTTGGATACTTTCTCCAGGTTATGCAGGTGTGCTGGAAAATGAGCAAGCAGATAGACTGGCTGGCTCTGTACCACTTGGTGTGAATTGATGTATGACAAGTTAAATATTGTGGGACCCTTTGAGAGCGAGTGAACAGTGCGGAGGCACATACAGATCATTACGATCTAATGAGAATGGTGCTGCGAGGAGTTACCAGGTGATCTGACCGACGCTCAACTCTCAGAGGAAGGATAAGACGAAAATACAATCAGACGGTTACTGGTACCATCGGAATTGGAACTCTTAGCTTGCTGCTGAAGATGGGGACAGAGTACTTATGGAAGTGTCCCGAGTGCTGTGATATCGATTCTTGATTCAACATTCAACATTTAAAATTCCATTATATTATATCCTTACAGTCTCTTTGATATCATGGATGGAGTCCGGCCCAGCACATTTGATTAAGGTTTTTTTTTTTTTTCGTCCTCGCTTCCCTAGTTATAACTGGCAACCTTTAGGATGTACTTCATCTAGTAAAAGAGAGGAGTGGGGTAAGCATGGTAACTTACAAGCTTGTCGATCGGTCTGACCTTCCTAATTTGATCTCTTTCTTTCTCTTTTATGTTTAGACGTCTCATAAAGCAAATTGTCTATATTTTTTCCTTAAACTTATAATCAATTTTTTCAATACATCGTTCGACAGTTAAGTTTTTTTTTTTTTTTTGGAAACGGTGCCTGTATTCTAATAAACAGCATCTTGTCTCGGAAACTGAAATATGTTAGTCATATAAAGCGCCATGTCAGACTGGAAAAAATAATGCATTGTACCAGGAATGAGGGGCAGGGGCCTACCAACACGAAGATGGGCACAGGATATAAGTGACTCTTCGAATATGAATGTACATGAGGCGGGAGAGCTGACGAGAGACCGAGTTTCTTTGAGGCAGACCGTGATGAGAGCGACGTTCTGCAAAGGATCTGCTACATGATAATGATGATGACTGATAGAAAAGTTGCCTGTCTTTTTCTTCTTCTTTACATCCTCTTTAACCGCTTCGTGTGTCGAGGGAGATATAAGGTATCTGCTTTGTGCTCACTTGGCTGCTTGGACAAAAGACACATCGTAGTGCTGTAGAGTTTATCTGATGTTATCTTCCCATATTATTCTTGGTCTACCTCTTTCTCTGCGTCCTTCTCCATTTTTCGTATATGCCCTGTATGGTATAGCCTCAGAAGGCATTCTCTCCAAGTAGGCAAACCATTTGATTTGCTGTCTTTCTATGTAATTTAGTATTGGTTCTGTGCCGATCTGAGCTCTTCTGGTCACTCCTACAGTCTTTCTCAGACACCTCATTTCCATGGTTACTAATTTTCGTTTATGTTTTGCAGTGAGTGACCACCTCTGTGCACACCTAAAAACTCGCCTGTGGATCGGAAAGTCGTGGGTTTAAGTCCCGACGACACAAGACTTTTTTTTTCAAAATGGAGCTTGGCTTCCAGGTCGACACAGCCTTTAATGGGTACCCGACAGAGTTATGGGAAGTAAAGGTGGCCGGCGTGATGCTGATCATATCACCCACCAAGTGCCCATTGGTATATAAAATATAGGTCTAGCCCTGCATACCCAATATGCATGAAAGCGTGGAAAGGGTCTTTTACTTGTCTTTAGTCACTACAGAGTGTTTAAAAAGGTGCCGGTAACCACTACATTGTTATTTTCTCTTAATCCACCCCATCTCGGTGAATTCGAATTTTTTTGGGGGCGGGGAGTTCCTGGGAAAATCCAATAATTATGGGTTTTAGGATCAACACCGACTAACAAAAAATCTATCACCCCCTTCCCCCCCCCCCCCCCCCCATAATATTGCACTCTCCCGGGAACTCCTCGTCAAATCTCAAAGTCACCGAGATGGGTGAACTAATTGAAAGGTACCGAATCTATCACAGTACATAATAGATGCGGATACTGCGTACCGCCAGGAAAAAAAAAACCTCCACAATTCTTCTTCTTCAGTGTCCAAAGTTTACTTTGCATATATCCTAGCCAGGGTCACACGGGAGACCTCTGTGAGAATATATATATATATATATATATATATATATATATATATATATATATATATATATATATATATATATATATATACAAAGCCGGGGACGGTTGCGGTCACAAGCAGGGCGGTGCGCTTAAGGTTTTGACCGACTCGCCATAGTTTGTCTTCCAGGTTCGCTCAAGTGGGACAGATTTCTTCTCAACCATTGACAAAGTGTGGCCAAATGCAATTAAACAAAATACATATGAAAAAATCGCGTTTTGATTAGCTTCACCAAAGCTGTGTTGTTGTTAAAAAAAAAAGGTTTCAACATAGGACAATCGCTTTATTATAGCAAAAGTGAACCTTTTTACACGCCTTCAGGTGTATTGGGCATATAGGGGTAGATCTATATTTCATAGACTCAACGGCACTCAGTGGATGAAGTGGTCAACATCACGATGACCGCCTTTACCTCCCAGGACTGTAACTGGTCCCTATTTAGGTTGGATCGACTTGGGAGCCAAGGTCAGTTTTTTTAAAAGTCCGGCTCCGTCAAAACCTAAACCTACGACCTTTCGAAACGCAGGCGAGGGTCTAGCCGCTACACCACGGCGGCTTTATTTTATTTTCTTTAAATTATTTGACTGAGATACTGTATAAAAGTCGGCGTCTGTGGCTCGGGCGTTGTCTCGCGCTGGTTTCGACAGTGGTATCGAAAGCTGACCATTTAGAAGCAATGGCAAACTACTGAACGTAAAATATGCCTAGAAAAACCACAACAGCTAATAAATGATGGGGTTGGTTCCGCAAAGTCCTGTAAAGGATGAGCAACTGACTTTAACTGCATAAAAGAATTGGGTCACATGAGGACAAGGACACACAGTTTGTTTGTTTTAGTATCCAGAAGCCTTGAGTTGTTAACCCTTAGGTTCGGTATTATGGATATCGCAACCTTTCGGCCTTGATTCCATTGTAAATACCGTAAATCTGGGAGAAAATGTGGCTTTCCTGCCTACCCCCGGGATTGAACCCGGACCACAAGGAGTACGTCACCCGGTCTCCGCGAAATCCGGTTTAGCCAATTCCGCTAGAGAGCTGGGCGGACACACAGTTTAAGCACAACTGTTTATAACAGTTAGCGGAATGATATGTGTACAGTCAGTGGCGCATCAATAGAGCTGTACGGGACCTCGTGGCAAAGTAGTCAAGCCGTTTGACTCGTGCTCAGAAGGTCGTGGGTTCGTTTTACGGCGGCGACGCTCAGTTCACGCGTGGAATTTTTACATACATTCACGTGGATCGTCGCCGGATCTGGGGAGGTCGTGCTCTGTAAGCGCTCTCGAGAGGCAGCTGGCTGTTCTGCGGAGAGAGACTGGGCCATATGGGATAAAGCCCGGTGCAATGAAGCCGATCCTGTCACCTTTACCATAGAACTGTACTATACAGATAGTGAAATCCCTGCTGGCAGGGCGCCTCTGTGCCAACACTACTTGTCCGCTGCTCCGGATGTAAAGAGTAAGCGAGGTAACGGATTTTACTCGAGCCAGGAGCGCACTGAGTATATGATGATAGATTCGTATTTTTATACGTCAGTGGGTGAGGTCGTCAACGTCACACCGGCCACCTTTACTTCCAACGATTTACAAGGTACCTTTCTTCTTCGCGTTCACTGGTTGTAAACTCCAGCGGAAAGTTTTGATTGTTTGTCCACATCTGGACTCTAGTCTTGCTCATGAGCCTGAGTGTTGCGTGTACATCCGTTTTACATATTTGGTTTATTTGTGTACAGACTGTTGGTTCCTTTTCACTCCGGCAGATACACTGGTTGTTGGGAGGACGAGAAACTATTCTTGTTTTCCCACACAATAGGGCCCCGGAACCCACACGGGGAACCTGGTTTTTTTAAAGGCTGTATGACCTGACAGCTAAGGTCAATTTAAAAACCAAACAATTCGCACTAATGCTGATTTGAACTCAAGGCCTCCAGACCTACAGGCCAGCGTCTAACTGATTCTCTACTCATCGTCACCATAATCATGCGCAATGCCGGTAAGCGTAGGCTGTCATGTTTACTCATCTCACAAGATCACGGATCAGTTTAATGTTTTTTGTCTCGCCCCCCCCCCTCCCCCCACCCATGCGGCCAGGCCATTCATGTACACGTATTTATCTATTTGCCTTCCTCTTGCTCTCCTTCTATCAATCTTGCTAGTTGTTATCTGGTTCTCTACAGCGGCTCCCATATGGTATATGGTACTCGATAAGTAATGTAGCGAACACCACGATGACAAGCATTTCTCAAAATATGTCCTGGTATTCAGTTAAGCCTGGGTCGATTTCAGAGCTAGATCAATTAAAAAGGCTCCATGGAACTATGCAACTTTTCGTTGAGAACCGTCGTCATGGAGTGTGTGTACGCTGGTGACGTCAATTAATCGGTTTGGTCCCTGGTATTTCATTCTGATACCTAGTCAATTTAGGACAAATCCATAAAATTATCCGCTGTAAAATAACAGTTGTGTCAGCAACTAATCTAAAAATGACTATATTAGTATACATACTTCTTTAAAAGAAACATGTATTATGTAGTGTTTGAGTTAAGCAAGACGAATCCAGGGAGAAAGAACGAGAAATAGAACAGCAAACGCCAAATTGCTAGCGCCCTCTCGCGCCCAATCAATGGAGAGCGCACCTGTCAGTGGCTCGGAGAGAGGCCGGCGTCTTTGTTCCTCGTTCCTGAAGGATATCTGAAATTCTGTGATCAGTACAAATGATGGCACCACAGAAGAGGTCTGCAGAAGAGGCGGAATCCCTCTTGGGTGGTGTGAAATCTATTTTACTAGAGATAGATGGAACAACAACTCCACTTTCCTTCACCGAGGTAAGTTTCGTTAACCCAGCAGTCGAGTCGTCGAGCAGACGCGGGCATTTTCTACGCGTCTCTTCTGCCGTCTTGGACTACTTAGCGAATTCTGTTAACACGGCATTAATTAAACCAGTTCTATATTTTATATAATACCATTATGGCAGCAAGCTTGCAAGAACATCTATTTTCAATTTAGCACCGTTGAAAGGACCCTACCTTAAGGTCTTTTTGTGTTTTGGCTTTAGATTTGTGAATGAGTAAACAACACATCCGCTGTTACAGTCAGTCTGCCTTCACTATGTATCAACTGGGCGTTACTTTTTTTTAACACTGATGAGTAATGCCTTTTTCTAAACAGATATTAACAAACTTTAACCTTTTCCTTGTCAATTCCTATGCATATAAGTCTTAATTTGTTTTTACAAAAGCCAGCGACCGGTCGAAATTGACATTCTTAGACTTATATGACCAGGTTGAATAATTTAGACGGAAATTGTATGTGAGTGAGCCGCCTCATATCTTATGACTCTGAGATTATGGAACATTTTGTTTTAACCAGGAATAACAGAGAGGAATGAAGCAACAAGATGTATTAGCCTATCAGTCAGATACTGGACTGTCTACTCTAACAGTAGAAGATTTGAATAATTTCAGTGGACACGCTACCGGCTCTTTTGAAGGAAGCCGCCTCCAGAATGATTTAGGCCACGTGACCCTTGACCGTGACTGGATTAGGCTGGTTTTGAAAGTTTCAAATTAGAAACAAAAAAGTATCGTAACACAGCTACACAACTGAACCTGAAGGGGACAAACGGAGATTTCCTAGGAACATCCCTTTGCAAGACTTGAGTTTAACCCATAAGTCTGAAGCATTGGTGGCAGTGAAGGTCGGTTGCGTTATGTGTCCTGTAAAAAGCCAGCAGCTATCTATCAGAGTATGGTTGTAAAGTATTCCCACCTGGCCCTGTGACCCAGGCCTCACAGGGGAAAAGCAGCTAAATATAAACAAGGAACTGAAGAGACAACTTTGCTTGGGGAATCTTCTATAAAACTAAATTTTACTTCCAGTCCCAGACAAGTATTACTGTAACTAAATGTTATGTCTGTACTGCCTATATTTACCAATTTAGGGTGGTTTACAATTGGGTAAAAGGGGGGCGGAGTCTCAAGACCCTGAGGATTTAAGGCCTGAAGCTAGTGCAGTTGCCACAAACTTTGCACTTTAAGATTTTGTAATTTTTTCCTGCTTACACACACACAAAAACCTCCATTCCTTTCCAAGGATTGAACTCAGGCCTTCCACATGAGATGCACTAACCACTCGGCCAGCTGCCCCTTGTTTCTTCACAGTCTCACCTTGTCAGAGTTATTGATGACATGAATTATGTGGGCAGTGACCACTGTATGTATATAACAGCTTTTTTTTTTTTTTTTTAACGAATCCAGAAACCATGAGTTGTAAACCCTTTGGCTCGGTACTATGGATATCGCAACCCTTTGGCCTTGATTCCATTATAGGTACCGTTAATCTGGAAGAAATGTGGCTTTTCTGCCTACCCCCGGGAGTGAACCCGGACCACAAGGAGTTCGTCACCCGGCCGCCGTGAAAGTCAGGTTTAATCAACTTCGCTAGAGAGCCGGGCAACAGCTTTGGTACGGCTTGCAACCACATAGTGTGTTGACTTGGTGGCTATGATGATATTTACAAAACAAAACCGTTGGGATATTAAATGGGGGTGAAAACAATTTTTTTAATGTGGTCATTGTGACATTATAGTAAACTTATGACTTTGCTCCAGATGTTTGTGTCTACAAAATCCCAGTTTTGATAGTCAAAAGGAGTAAAAACAGTTAATTGTTTGCTTTGTTATTTTTACTGATTGCATACCTTACTAAAAAGCAGATTTTCAGGGCTACATTATCACACAGTATTTATGTTGTTAGTATTGTGAGGGCTGCGATGATGTAATAGCTATCAGGTTGGTTTGTCTGCTCAGCGGTTGTATGTAAAAACTGACCAAGATGGCATTATTTTTCTTCTTTGTTTGTCCTTAAAAGGATGATTGGCATGTGGTGTTTTGGTTTGCAGCACCTTTTGGCTTGATCTTACTTAGTCATCCCTCTTCTACCTTGGGGTGTAGAGGTTTGCGAAAGAGATCGCCAGATTTCTTTAGTGGTTGGCATGTGGTGTTTTGGTTTGCAGCACCTTTTGGCTTGATCTTACTTAGTCATCCCTCTTCTACCTTGGGGTGTAGAGGTTTGCGAAAGAGATCGCCAGATTTCTTTAGTGGTTGGCATGTGGTGTTTTGGTTTGCAGTGTCTTTTGACTCTGACTTACCTAGTGTTCCCTCTTCTGCCTTGGTTTTCTTTTTAGCTTTGTTCCCATTCAAGAGCTCTGTCTGTCAGGGACTGTCGAATGTTGTCATGCCTGCTATGGGGGACAAATCTCTCCCGTTATACATACATGTCTGAACCATTGTAACTGACTGATCCCATTGAGTGTGTTTTAAGGTCTTGACGTATTGACTGATTGCAAACTTTGTACCTTCTTGTCACTTTTACCACCTTCCTCAGATATGTCATTTCAGAGGCCTGAAGCTGGCTTCTGTGAGCTGTTACCATTGCCCATTCACACCTGTAGGACAGGACTAGCATAGCTGTATACAACCATTTTTGTCCTCTTGCTAACTTCTGTTTTGGCTGAATACACCTGGTTTCAGCAGAGCACTAATTAGTCGCAACTTATGACATTTTTTGTTATGGAGGGCAGTAGGTGTATTCTTTCCCCCCCCCCCCCCCCCCCCCTCCATAAAACCTCCAGAGCCCACTCAGAGATTTATTTGTATTATCTTTTCCTTTCATTCTACCTGCCAGTGGTTTTCAGGTGTGAAAGCTACAGGCCTCTCTAAAGTCTGTGGTGTGATACATGTCTTTTGCTGTTCCATACAGCTTGGTTTCCATTGGAATGCCACCAGGCCAGACCTGGGATATCTTTACTGCATGAAGAGAACAAGCATGTCTGTAGCACTTGTTCAGTATTCTATAAAGCTTATTCACACGGGCAAAGTTCTTAATTCTCAGTCTTAAATTTCGTATACATATGGCATATTAATTATTATTAGATTGTGTGACTCCAAGTGTTTTGACATTCGGGCCAACTGTAATACGATTAGTTGTGATGTTGAGTAGTTGATAAAGATAAAAACAAGTCAAAAAATGGCATCAAGCACTCTTATCTATATTTCGTCCATTTGATGCATCCTTGACACACAACTTGAGACAGGTGCATTTGTTTAGTATTTATCTTTTTTTTTTAGTCTTTTTTTTTTTTTCCGTAAGGGAAAAGGAAAAAAACCACATTATTTTCTCCAGACTGTTTCACATTTGGATTAGCAGGATAGTTTGAAAAACTTCATGTTCATCTTCGGCCTGAATGACCTGACATGTTTTCTACATTTTTCCATAGCTTCTGTGCAAATTCTCTTCTACTTAGATGTTTTCCTAGTGGTCGAGGTTTCAACTTCTCTTCAAAGGGGTCGCCCCATATTTCTTTCGTTCATGTGTCAGTGAAAATCACTCTTTTTCTGATTCTTGAATGGGACGGGGCAGGTTATCGGAACTTGCTGCGGTCGTAGTGAGGTAATATTGTGGGCCTGTTGTTTAGTTTTTACTGAGGTATCTGCCTTAATAACATTCCTCTGTGGGTTTCAGGACCCAATTTTGTGAGGAGGGGGGGGGGGGGGGGATAGACCCTCTGCCCCCCCCCCCCCCAAAGAATGTAGTAAAAGTCTAATAATTTGTGGTGTTTTTCTCAAAGTTGTAGTGCATCTGCCCAAAAGCGAGGAACGAACCTTCTGCTTACAAATACATTAGATCTGTAAAACGGATGTGCACAGAAAACTCAATTTCTGGAACAGGATGAAAGTCCAGAAGGGGACGAACAGCCAGAACTTTCTGTCAGAGTTCACAGCGCTTGAATGCTAAGAAGAAAAAGAAGTAAAAAAATAAATAAAATGGCTGACATTACCACGCAAAACAAATAAGCAAAATGGCTGAGATTACAAAGCAAAGAAATCAGTCAGTAAGCATGAGGGTAATTCCCTTTTTTGTCTTTTGGGTTTCATCTTTTTATGAAATACAGACACTCAGTCAGCTAATTTCAAGCCTTTACTAGACCTGTTCTTGATTGATTGGATTTAAGCTGAAGTTTCCTATGTGGCTAGGAAGCCAGCCTTATTCTCCTTACTATTTCATGTAACATACATGCCAGGTTGCACTATAACTATTACATTATGAGTCATGGTAACACTGGAAATGTGTCTGAAAAAGTAAATAAAAACCTGGCTTCCATTTCTCAAGGCATTTGGTGCAAGCCTCATATTTTAGTAAACCAGTCATCACTCGTTGATTTCCCATGTGGGTTCCTGGCTCTATTTTAAAGAAGAAAAAAAATATTACAGAATAAAGCCACTGGCCTCTAACAAAAATTTGGCAGGAAGTGACTAATTAGGGTGTTTCCTTTGAAGTTGGAGTGCATCTGCCTGAAAGTCAAGGAACCAGCAGTCTGATTACAAATGACCCAATCCTGTAAAATGGTTGTGTGTGTAAAACTCAAATTGTAGAACAAGACTAAAGTCCAGAAGTGGAGGAACAACCAGAGATTTCCGCAAGAGTTTACAGCCAGTGAGCATGAAGAATAAGAAGATATACAAGTTTTCCAGAGTACACATGTGCCAGTTTATTCAGGGAAGATATATAAGCTTGTATGTTTGGTCCCTTCTGTTAGAATTAGTTAGCACAACAAGAAGTACTTCTATTTGAAATGCCATGTTTGTGCAAATTGTGTCATGATTGTGAATCTGCAGCATTGACCAGACTGCAAAAAACATTTTATTTATGTTGAGGCCAGAGAAGAGCATGACACAAAAGCCATAGTAAAGAAGTCATCACTGAACTGGTGTCATCAGTCACTAGTTGCTGAGGGATGTGTTGAGGAAGGCATCAGAGCACTTTAGGCAGTTTTTTTCCAATGTCAAGCCATTTGAAGTCATACAGATTAAATGTATATAATTAATATAAACAGTCTCTGCAGCCATATGTACAAGAAATTCAAGACTGGGGATTCCGAATTTTGCCTGTGTGGACAGACATCATATAATACTGAATAAGTGCTACAGACATACTCTCTAAATAAAGTAGAGATATTCCAGGCTTGGCTGGTTGGCATTCCAGAGGAAATCAAGCTATTTGGAACACGCATCACACTACTGACTTCATAGAAGCCTGTGGCTTTATCACCTGAAAACCACTGTCAGGGAGAAAGAAAAAAAGATAAAACAAGCTAATCTCTGAGTGGGTTCTGGAGTCCCATTTGTGGGGGGATGGGGACAGACCCACTTCTCCCTATAAGAAAAATGTCATAAAATGCACCTAATTAGGTGTCTGCTGAAACTGGATGTGTTGAGCCAAAAGAGAAGTCAGCTAGCAAGAGGACACAAATGGTTCTGTACTGCTCTACCTATGTGACAGGCCTGACCTACCGGTGTGAGCCATATGCATTGAAAACAGCTCACAGAAGCCAGCTTAAGACCTCAGGGAGAATCATCTAAGTGATAAGAAGTAGGCAGTGCTGTTTTAGGCATATAAGGAGAGGACAGTTATAAAGATGTGTGCAAGCGGGATGGGAATGATGTTAATATCGGTTTGCTTCCTCTTCTACAGGACACACTTCTTCCTCATGTACGAAATAATCTTGAGAGTTACCTGAAGAAAAAATTTGACAATGCTGATGTACAGAAAGCCATCGCTGCATTGAGAGATCAGGTAAGGAGAAGAGTTGATACATTATTGTATCTGTCTGTCTGTCTCCATGTAAATACTAAAAAAAAAAAAAAAGACATTGAGCCATGAACCCGTGGCAAGTCATAGAAAAAAATCCTTTAAAACTTTTTTACACAGGTCACTAATGAATTATAACAAATTTATTTATGTGCATGTTTACACACACACACCCCCCCCCCCCCTCGAAATGTTTAAAGATATATAAAGGGGTAATCAGTAAACACAAACAGGGTGAAGCATTAGCATTAAATGAAATAAATTCCCTAGGGGTGTTTAAAAAAAAAAAATGTATCAGATGACTCATGCCATGGTTAAGATTGCTAGGCTCTCAAACCAAGGTTTGAATCCTCGGTAAGGTTGTGGATTTGTTCTGTCAGGGGCAACAATTAAAGCTAACCTGCACAGTCCGTAACGACAACATTAGCCGTGCTGCCTAAAGGCTGGGTAGTACACCTTGGAGCCAAGGTCATTTTCGAAGAAAAAAAGTCCAGCACCGTTTGGATTTGAACCCACAACCTTTGGATCCGCAGGAGACTTTCTGGTCGCTACACTCCAGCGGCTCCTGTTGCAGGCTGTTAATATTTTAATTTTGTGTGTTTGGCTGAGTCATTTATTGCTATTCAGTAACAACTGCATGGAAAAAAAGGACTATTAAATATAGATGTCTGTGTTGTAGAGGAATAGGCAGGGAGCTGAGAGACTTTCCAGAAGGCCATGATGGTAGTAATGTTCTGTCAATGGACCTGCTATTGATGATGATGATGTAAGAAGTGAACACATGGCAAGTTGCTTAGTGCTGAATAAGTTAAATGTTTGGTCTTCATCCTTCTTCTTCTTTTGTTCGCCATCTTCATCCTTAAAAGGGCAGTTGTCAGGTTGTCTTGTGGCTCACAGCTAGGCTGCAATATCTGCGTCCTTTGGCCCAGCACATTAACTTTTCTAATTGGTTGCCTTTTACAACATGCTTTTTTAGAGGCGGTGGGACTGTTCCCTAGAACCAACAAGAGGAAAGTGTTTGGTGATCATTTTATATTATTTAGATGTTGAACCTTGAAGAAAAAACAGCATAACCTGATTCATTGTTTTAACTTTGCCATTTCAGGCGGCCAAAGACAAAGAGGAGAAAGTCGAGGGTGTGGTGGAGATTCCCAGCGGAGATGCAACCAAAGAAGATGTCATTAAAGCAGTGGTTGACAATGTTCGGTGGCAGCTGGATGGAAAGAGAAACACAACAGAATTGAAAGCACTGCAGGAATTTGTATTGAGAGATGCATATGCGTCCAAAGCAGTCACAGTAGAGTAAGTATGGCTGTAGCAAATCCTCATTAAAGTTTTCTGTGGTTAATTCTTGCGGTAAATGGTGTTCCATTCGGAGAAATAAAGAATTTTTGTTTTCAAGTCAAGAGGTTTGACTTAATTAAACTTTGTTTTATCCTGTATGGCATTAGCTTAGAATTTGACACAAAATAGATACTTCATTGGGGGATCTTCATGGCAAAGTGGTCAAGTCAAGCCACAACGTTCTCGAAAAGCAGCATTAAATGCCTTCTGTTTTGTATGCGTCTCTATAGTGTTTAAGAGACCTGGATGTGAATATGTTAACTAAATATATAATTTAGAAGGGGTTTTCTTGTGACCAAAGTGGCTTTTTTTAAAGGCCAAGTTGACTTACAATTTTCCTGTAAACCCCAGTAATAAAGTTCACGGTTTCACAGCATGAGTCACTCAGTACATATTTGTTTTAGGTCCCAGTGAATGGATTCCATATAACACTTCATTCTGTTCTTGTTTATTGATAATTGCTTTTGTGAGTCTTTATAAATTTTAAAACAAAAATTTAAATATGCAGATAAATAAATTTTTCAACAATGTATTAGTGACCAGTATAAGCATTAAATTTTTTTTTTTTTTTTAGAAATTCCTACGGGTTCATGACTCATTGTTTTTCTTAGCATTTGCGGGGTAGAATGGTTTAAAAAACTTGCGTCTTTAAAGCTGTGCTGTATATTTTACAGCTATTTTTTGTTTCCTAGTCATCTTGCGGTGTCCGTGGCTTAGGCGTTGCGAGTCCAACTTGCCATCCAACGTACCGCGATTAAAACCCACTGCTGGCCGAGTGGATTTTTATCATGGTTTGGGGCGTCGCAGGTCAACCCAGCCTAAAGTGGGTACCAGGATGGCTGTCCTGGGGAAGTAAAGACGGCCGGCATAATGCTGATCACATTACCCATCCTGCTGATTGGTCTGTAAAAATTTAGGACGCTCTTCCCATATACCCTATGCGCCTAAGGCGTGAAAAGGGATCTTTACTTACTTTTACAAGTCATCTTATGTTTCATAGCTCTTTTCATAGCTTTATTATTTATTTCACAGCTCTTTTATGTTTTACTGTATAGCTCTGTTACCTATTTCTTACCCTTTTTTGTTTCTCAGATCTGTTATTGCATATTTGGGGGGGGATGTTTTTTTTTTTTCAAAAACTTCCGGTCACTGTTACACGTTCCTACTTGTTTTACCTTATATCCTCTAATAGAGTATAGACTCCCAGCCAACTTATGCCATGTTGTCCTGTCCTTTGCTGTTACATGCAACTCACCCCTTGTCCTCCCCATCTTATTAACGTCACTCTCTAGCTGCCTTCTCCGCATGTTTTTTGGTTCTGCCTTTTTTCTCTGCCTCTCTGGCTTCCAATGCAAAGGCATTCTAGTTCCTGAATTTAGAATACTTTTCCTGGTCCCAGCCCATCTGGTTTTTACATAATCCTAAAATACAAATCCTATAATATTTCATCTCTCTTTAAACATTTATTGTCTTTCCGACATCGTACAAAGTTCTCACATTCCAGGTGCCACTTCTGGAGATTTATGTAGGTGAAAGAAGGTATGTTGACAATCTGGACTCCTATCTGCTTTTTAAGCATCATATCATCATTCTTCTGTTAAAAGAACCTTCCCTCATTTGGTTCTGTTTTATTCCATAGCTATGTTATCTTACATGTTTCAAAGTGTGCCCTTATGTTTCACGTCTGTTGTCTAATATGCTAATTTTGTCATCTATACAAGGTTATTCGAAGATGTTGGTCAGATGCTGAAAATGCTCGCTGAGGAAGGCATCCAGTTGTATGTCTATTCATCTTCCAGTGTGGAAACTCAGAAACTGTTCTTTGCAAACACCAATCAGGGAGATCTTTCTGATGTAAGTGGACATGGCTGATATTGGGTGTGTGTCTTGGGAGTGGGTCGGTATGATGCAGACCACATCACCACCAAGTGCTGATTGGTCTTGCCTTATATACCTGCATGTGTGGAAAGGGTCCTATACCTTTTTGTGTGTTTTAAAACTTGGCAGTGTTACTGGGGGTTGGTTGTTTTTAATTTTCCTGGAAGGTGTTAGTCTGAGCTGTTAATATTCAGTCTTTATAAACCATTTGGGAGAGAAAAGTCAAAGTGAGTGAGTGACATTCTACCCCACCAGGACCACACAGTGAGCGATTGACACTCGGTGACACCAAGTACCACCATCAGGATGAGGATCACCCAGGCACAAGTCCCAGAAACCCTGTTCAACCGTCGGGTTATATTAGAGCCCCTAACTACAGCCAGGGTGGGGCTTTCAAACAACAAACAATTGCCTCCCATATTGGTACGAGTGAATTCAAAGGCAATAAAAAAATGGGAATAATATGGAGGATACACAATGTGAATAATATGGAGGATACACAATGTGAATAATAGGAAGGAAACAAAAGGGGAATGATGTGAAGGTAAAAAATAGAGTATCTGCACCTATGAATAGCACTGGAACTTTTTTGCTGCCATCCTCCCATGTGGAAATGCCACATAATTGACTGAACAGAAAAGCATAGTTCAGTAAACAGAATATGATAATTAAATGTAGACCTGGATACCAAAAAAAGACCTGTTGAGAATTTTTGTGTATATGTAAGGCGCCCCCCCCCCCCCCCCCCCCCCCATGGTTTTTGACAATGTGTTATCGCCCATAATGTTTTGCATGATTTCCTCGCCAGGTTTTCGCTGGTTACTTTGACACAACAACGGGCAGTAAGACAGAGAGTGCTAGCTACAAGAAAATTGCCACAGAGATCGGCAATGAACCTAAAGATATCCTTTACCTCACCCATGTCCCTCAAGGTGAGTTTCTTATCAACATATGATTTTGATTATTTATTTCCCCATTTGGGTACCAGGACCACATTGTAGGGGCCCAAAATAATAGACCTACACCCCCCCCCCCCCCCAACAGGCATATCGTAAAAGTTGACTAAAGAGAGATGGTTCTTTCAAAATTGGAGTGTATCTGCCTGAGGGGCAAGGAACCAACAGTCTGCATACAAATAAGCTAGATCTGTAAAACGGATGTGCTCACAAAATGCAATTTCTGGAACAAGACCACAGTGGAGATGTGACGAACAAGGAGAGCTTGCTGCTAGAGTTTACGGCCGATGAAACACAAAGACGAAAAACAAGACTTTGTCCTTGTTATTTTTTTTTTTATTCTGTGTTCCTCCTCCATCATAAACTGCCAGCTAAAATAGGTACCAGGTAATGTTCTGGGAAGTAAAGGCAGGCTCAGTGATGTTGACCATCACCCACTGAGTGCTGATTGGTTTACAAAAATGTGAGTAATATCATAGCCTGATGCGCCTGTGGTGCCAAAAGGGTCCTGTATATACAGTAACTGCCGAACGGGGCGCAGTGCAGGTCCAGGGGTGTGAAAACAAAAGGTGGGCTATGGAGTTGTTACATAGAGAGATTGCTGGTTATGTTAGGTCTCACCTTTAATTTAAAAAACTGATTGAAAGGATTAGATTACACCTCCTCTCAACACTAAATTGGCAGAATAAAAACCAGCAGGCGACTGAAAAATGACATCACTCCTCAGCACTGAAATGGCAAAATAAAAAAAATAATAGAGGTGCATTTTGGTGGAACTGGGTGTGATAAAACCACATGCTCATGTTAGTGATAGTACACATTATAATAGTCTGTCAGACACTGAATCCTTAGCTATTTTTTTTAATTTATGCAGTTATGCACCTAGGCTGTCTTCACTCTTCTGTATTCATTGGCAAGCAGGTCTTCCTCTGTTCACGATTGGTTAGATTTTCTAAGGCGTTGTTCATGATTGATTAGATTTTCTCTCTAAGGCTTGTTCACAATTGGTTAGATTTTCTGTCTAAAACTTGTTCGTGATTGGTAAGATTTTCTGTCTAAAACTTGTTCATGATTGGTTAGATTTTCTTTCTAAGGCTTATTCAGGATTGGTCAGATTTTCTTAGGCTTGTTCATGATTGGTTTTGAGTTTACATCTAAGGCCTGTTCATGATTGGTTAGATTTTCTACCTGAAGCTAGTTCATGGATTTGTTAGATTTTATCTCTAAGACTTGTTAGATTTTTTGTCAAAAGGCTTGTTCATGATTGGTTAGATTTAAAAAAAAAATGTAAGGCTTGTTGATGATTGGTTAGATTTTAAAAATCAAAGTCTGGTTAATGACTAGTTAGTTTCTATCTAAGGCTTGTTCATGTAAATTTTATGTCTAGGACTTATTCGTGATTGGTTAGATTTTAAGTCTCTTCTACCCCGTGTGGGTTCCAGGGCCCCATCGTGGGGGGAAAACAAGAATAGACCCACTGCCTCCTTAACAAGCATGTGGTAAGAGTCGACTAATTGGGGACTTTCTTTGAAGTCAGATTTAATCTGCCCGAGAGGCAAGGAACCAACAATCTGCATACAAATAAATCAGATCTGTTGAACGGATGAACACAACACTCAGGTTCTGGAACAAGACTAAAGTCCAGAGGTGAATAAACAACCAGAACTTTCCGTAGGAGGTTAAAGCCAGTGAACGCAAAGAAGTAGAAATCTCTTCTGTATTGTTATGAATACATAATCTGTGTGGGTAGTTTTACAAGTGACAAACTTGTTTACAACTAAATGTTGTTCTTTTTTTCTTCAGAGGCAGAAGCAGCAGTCTTAGGAGGCCTGCGAAGTGCTTTAGTAATCCGACCTGGCAATGCAGAGCTGACAGACGAGCATCTGCAGAAATTTGCCTGCATTGAGAGATTTGATGAGTTGTACGGGGATGAAGATGACGAGGATGATATCAAGCGCTTTGCTGGTGACAATGGTGAACCAGATGATGATGAGGATGATGAAGATGAAGAGGAGGAGGAAGGCGAAGGTGACGATGATGAGGGAGATGATGCATAAAAACGTGTCATGTATGCATTTGTGTAGCAGTTGGTCTGTGTTTAGTAGTTTTTGACAGACGCAGGTAGAGTGAAAGGTTAATGGCAAATAATGTGAAAATTTCAGAACAAATTTACTTCGGGCAAATTTTGTTTGAGACTGAGCAAAGTTAATATTGATATTCTTCTAAAAATTGAGAGGTTTGAAATCACGTTATTTGATGATTCTTCTCTTCTTCAGTGAACATTTTTAGTATTTTATGCGGGAATTTATAGCTGTTGAATCATTTTACCCTTTGAACCCTGCCCTTGATCTCCAGCCGCTCTGGTACAGAGCTCCCCAATAAAAGGGTTAAATTGTGCGCCATAATAGCCATGTTAATTCATTGATACATCTACATTTTCCATGGCTAGTTTTGGGAACACCTTTGTCTGTCACAAGGGCTGTGACATTCAGAGAATTATACTTGAACTACATTACGTTGGGGTGCAGCTCTTGTGGACCCCCGATTGGCCCAGCCTAAAATCAAATCCAGGCCATTTTTGTGAGAAATAAAATGGCAGGTGGCGTGCTGCATTGTGGTTCACAGCTAGGCGGTGATATCTGCACCTTTAGACACATCCATTTTCAGCCTTTTACTACATGTTTGTTAGTTGGTCTCTTCTCCCCCCCCTCCCCCACATAATTGGTGCTCCAGAATCCATACAGAGAGCAACAGAAACTTCTTGGCATGGAAAAGGTTACTCTACTACTTATTTAGGGCAGGTTATCTTTGTGTGAAGCCTTCTCATCATTACATGGTTAGATAAACCGTGAACGCCCAGAATTTTGAGTAAAGACATGTTTTCCCTGCAAAACAGGCTTGTGGTGAATAAGTAGGCAATCTAGCTGCTATTTTTTTAAAATATAAATTTCGGGGTCAAAGGGTTTAAAATACAACTGTTTAATGATAATTGAACTTTCCTTGTGGATCTGAAATTTTTAATATACTTATGTCACTTTTGTTTTACGGTTTGAGAAAAAAAGTATTTGTTAAACAGGAGGTGGTCAGGGCTGCCTGAAAGGAAAATAGAAAGGTTTTTTAAAACTGGAATTTGTTACCATTTCTTTGTGATTGAAAGAAAAATAGATTTTAACCGGAAATGTACATCGTATCTGTGCAATGATATGTGCTGTTGTATTTTTACCGATAGTTTGTTTATAAACATTTTTGGCAGCTGTTCATATCGTTAACATGAATATACATAGTTTATATGAAGTTTGATGTATCGTGACGATTACAGTCATTTTTGTCTCAACATTCATGTCGTTTAAAAAACAAAAAAGACTTAAAGTGGTCCTAATTCGGTTCCTAATCCTCAGTGCTGCCAAAGTTTATAGTTCATTTTTGTTGTTGTCCGTGTCGTATCTATCTATCATTTCTCGGCAAGAGTAGACTTCCCAAACCTGAAATACTGTGACTATATCGCCAGGTACTTCTTTTTTTTAAGCACGGATCTTACTATGCATTAGATATAGGAATTGGTTAGTTCATCCTAAAACAAAGGTTTATAATTCCAGTTCCATTTTTCTGGTGTTTTTGTTTCTCCATAAAACTATTTCATCTGTTTACAGTCTCATTGTTCATTTTATTACCACGTCTCACATATGCATATTGAAGTCTCTCTTTATTTGGCTTTTATTTTAAACTATATTGAATGTTGTATAACTTAAATTCTTGACCAAACGAACATACAGCACAACTGACCTGTGCCCTTGTCCACAATGCATTGTGTATGTTTTTATTATCAAAGTAGGATTTTTATGTGTTCATTTTTTAATGTGTAGTCGCTCATTTAGTCTTCTCCATATTCACATTTTACAGTGTTCTTTTACCTTAGTAACAGCATTTACTACAAGGAACAACACACACACAAAAACTGCTTCAAGCACGATTTGACTTTTTTTTTTTTAGTCTGAATTAAAAAAAAGTGCTGATACCCAAAAAGTGTCTTTAAAAAAAAAGGAAGTTGATATTCACCACAAAGTGTCTATTGTAGTAGTGCTGAAAAACCAAATGCCGTAAAGTGTCGGTACTGCACAATTTGCGTACAGCCAGGAAAAAAAACCACCCCCGCATACACAGTATGTAGGGCTCCTCACCTGGGTCTTTTGTTGATTGTTTCCAGAGTTGAGCTCTGATGACCGACTGCTTTTGTTGGGGATTGATGTTCCAGTTGTGTTGCATGGCCATGAACTCCAGGGTATCATCCTCTATTAGTGCTTGATTTTTGTTGTTTTGGCTCCTACTGTTGTTTATAAGTTTGCCCTTTTTTTTTTAAAATTCATGGAATTCCATTGTGTAGAATGGTGTAAGTTTTTGTTATTGACAGGGAGCAAAAGGGGAAAAAAGCTGTCAGTTTTATCTGGAGAAAAAAAAACCACATCTGTTTTCTAGTAACCATTATTTTAGTGACCATACAAGTTATCACTTTTTTTCTGGATAATTTTCATCCATTTGTTAAATTTTAAAAAATAATGTTACATCCTGTAGCTGTCATGGCAGTTAAAAATATAGTATCATGAAACCTGTGTGGCCAGATTTTGTTGTTTGTTTTAGTATTTGTGGTGAAATGTTGATAGCAGTTGATTAGGGGAAAAGTTGTGTGATGAAAGGTTGATAGCAATTGATTGGGGCACAAGTTGTGTGACGACAGGTTGCAACCAACATTACTGACAATGGGTCACCCCCATAACTGCCCCGCTCCGGTGGAAATCTACCCCCATAACTGCCCCGCTGTGGTGGAAATCTACCGCCATAACTGTCCCGCTCCGGTGGAAATCTACCCCCATAACTGTCCCGCTGTGGTGGAAATCTACCCCCATAACTGTCCCGCTGTGGTGGAAATCTACCCCCATAACTGCCCCGCTGTGGTGGAAATCTACCCCCATAACTGTCCC